TTTCCAGATTTTCTAATGAATATACATTTTATTAAAGTTTTCAACAATACAACAAAGTTCCAAGATTAGACATGTTCACAAACATAATTCAGATTTGACAGCTGTAGATATTTTGCCTATGTTTTCTGTGTGTGCGTGTATGAAAATGCAATGTACATGTTCATGTGTTTTGTGAAATATTTGAAAGAAATCTGTGGTTATCATGAAAGTTCACCTCTAAACACAGAATCCAACAAGTGTCCATTTACTGCATTTGGCTTTTAGATCTTTCTAGATCTTTTAACAGACCAGTCTTGCAAGCATTTTTCCCTTTATTTTTTCCTTCTTTTTGGTGAGGCCATGCCAGTTGTCCTTCAAATCTTCTCACATTCTAAAATGTGCTTGATTGCTTTCTGAAATGTCATTTAACTGATTTTCTTCATCCAGTAAGCTAGAAGAATGTTAAAACTGCCTCCATTAGATTCTAGTTCAACAGATTTGGTTTCTACATGTTCATACTTCATAGATGATCCAGTGATCTTCAGATACCTATCTATTCTACATAGCATATAATATCAAGTTGCATATACTATTGATTTTCAGACTATCACGAATACAAAGCCTGATCACTTGATTAAGGTGAAAACTGACATATGGTTGCACTGTACAAGTACACATTCAGTATTAAAATTGACATAAATGCTCATAGGTAATTACATGTAAAATGGGTAAAATTTGGATAAAGTCTGTGATTGAATCAATCTCTATTAATACAAAGTCTCCAAATCCTAATACCTTAGGGTCTAGGATTTCAACATAGAAATTCTGGGAAGAATCAAGCATTTAATTTATAGCATAGTATTACCTAATTTCAGTTGGGAGGCAAGGAAAGACTTTTTATGGAAATGATATTTCTACTGAGAACTAATGGATGATTCACAGTTCATCAAATGAAGATTGTGCAAAAGGGAAAGAACATGCAAAGTATAGCAAGCTGCATTCAAGAAAAGTTAAGGAGGAAAGGAATTCATTCTCTGGAGAAGCTAAAAAGGATGCTTATTAAGGGATGCTTATGTCACTGGAGCCACGGCTGCAAGTTGCTCAGTAGGAAGTAGAAGCCAAGCCTAGATGTAAATTCCATCCTGCAGTGAGAGACTGAAGCTGGGTTGGCATTGCAGCTGACCCAGTGAAATACTGTGGCAGCTCAGACTAAGATGACAGTGCTGGTGGCATGCAATACAAAGATTTGAGATACCATTTGAGAAATGAGAAACATTAGAGGAAGACCAAGTTGGCTGATCAGGGTAGTACCCAGAGAACAACTGGCCACATGTAATGTTTAGTTTGAGATGCATGCTATATTCGTAGACTTACATCAAATTGATGGTTAAATCATAAAGTCAGAGACATCTTAAAAAAGAGATCAATATAATGAGTTCTACTTTCTGTCTTTTTTTAAAAGGATCCTCTAAAGCACATCTTATATGGAGAGATCAATAATGTGATCACATTCCGCAACAAGGGACACATTTACTATATAGTTGTCAGCAAACAATATGCTATTATAAGCCAGAATTTTAAAGAAAACAGAAGCAAAGTAAATTGAATTTCTCCAGTATGTCAGTGTATCCCGGTGTACATGATGAGTTCCTTGTGGCCTTCTTTATGGCAACAAATGGGGATTTCTGGGACCCAAGGTACATGGAAAGATGCATCTGTGTGAAAGGCAGTAAATGCTTGCATCGTAAGTGAAAGATTAGTGTTTCCATAGAAATTCCCATTTGGTCATTGTGAAGTGCTCATTTTTCTAAGTTGATTTTGCAAATGTTTTTGTATTGATGATTAAAAAGAAGAGGCCAGAAGTAACATAAAACAGCAGCAATTGAGTCCTGTAGAGGTTGCTCATCTTTCTTTACCTTCATATTCAAAGCCATTACGAAAGTTATATTGTTTAGAAGTATGAAAGCAAATGTGTTTTTCCTCTAGGATTTAAAGGGCTTTAAATATCACACACTTCTAGAAAACAGAATGTGTGCTAAATATCTGCCAATTCAAGTAAAATTTTTGCACACTTGTTAACCCATAGACTTTTGATTTTTAAAGAGCAAGAAACCATCTTGACCAGAGAGGGGAAAATAAACAGAGATTTAATTTTAAAGCTTTAGTTTCTGAAAGGATCACTTACCATTGCTTTGACCTTTCCTCCTAAGTTGTGTTTTTCTTCAAGAATATTTATTGAGCATCTACAACATGCGAGGCATTTTCTGGAAATGGAGAACCATAAGTGAATGAAAGGCAAATATCCTTGCAATCATGGAGCTAATAGCATAATGGAGAGAGGATGAATAATAAATAAATAAGATGAGTATCCTATAGGGAGATAATACATGCAATGAAACAAAGCAGGCAAGGCAGTTAAGGGAGGCCACAGATGTGCCTGGATGGAATGAGGGCTTCAGCTGTAGATAAGAAGTCAGAAAAAGTTTCACTTACAAAGAAAATTTACAAATATCATTTTCAATACCTTTCCTAGTGAATTGTTCATAATCTCCAGTTCAGAATTTGCAGTCTATAGTGACCACGCCATTTGTTTACACCCTCTTTGTCACAACACTTTCTAAATTACTTGTAACATTGCTTTCTACAAAATAGAATTTGTGGCTAGGTTGACTGAAGGCACCACCTGAATATCTACAATTTTATATGACTCTACCAATGCTGCAGTCAACAAGAAATGGTCATGAATTCATCCATGGTGCCACACTTCCTTCTGATGTTTTACAAATGGGCTATGCTTATCTGCTGGGAGAACTTTCATTTATTTTCTATTAGTGGCAAGCTGAGGTTGTGGTCCTATCTTCAGACTGTAATGTGTCTGTTCCAAAGAATTACTGGCTCCTGTTGACATTTGTGGGGAATTATATTAATATGAAATGTGTCTTTAAGAAAAACTGAAATACAGTCCATATTTTTTTCACCAGGTTTCTTCCCAGTATCCAGCTTAAAGAAAAGATTTCTGATTCAAGTTTCTATGAATAAATAACTATTGTCAATTATTTCTTTATAACTGATATATAGTCATTTTAGTTATTATTTTGACACATGGATTACCACAATTCAATAAACACATTTTACTTGGAGATTGGGATAGTTTTAACACTGAATTAAAAATGCCTGTTATAGCTAGATCAAAATGTTATTTTTCTTTTCAGTAATAAAAATATTGCCTACTCAGGTTCTATTAGCAGAAATACCCTGTTCCTCATGCCTATCAATATTTCCTTTAATCTTTTTTTATAAAATAACAGTGTATTTTAAAGTCACTTTTATTTGTCTACTGCCTGTGGATCAAAATGTTTGTCAATTCAGGCTAGCTAGTATTGAAAAGTATCAAGAAAGGGTTAGTAACAAAAGAAAAACTATAGGAAAAAGAGATGCTTGGGTAGAATCATAATACATCTGAAACCTGAAAACCAAAGGATGAACCTAAGACAAAACTAAACAGAAATGGAAATGAGAGCAGTAGGATGACTAGTTTCCGTATAATGTTACCAATAATAATCAGAAGTTTCAGTGCTGCCGTATGCCTCGTCCCTAGAAAGTCCTTTCTGTCAAATTTAGAAATCATACTATAAGTTATATATTAGTTTGCACTAACTCAGTGAATCTTAAGTATCTCAATAAAGACAGCACACTTATTAGCAGACAGGAAAGGGTTAAGTTTTCAACCCAGAATCATTAGTTAAGCTCCTTCCTCCTTTGTTTGTAAGTAACCAAGGTTAGTGGTGAAGCCAGTCTGTACTCACTAAAATAAAGCCCAACTATTCTAAGTCTCCCAAGAAAATTTAATATTTTGATTGATTTAGGTGGAAAAAGTTATTTTTATCATATTACCTGAAATCCAAAACTTTGCAGTCTAGTTTATGTGTGTGTGTGTGTATGTATGTAAGAGACACAGAGAAGAATAGAGACAGAGTAAGAGAGAGACACAGAGAGAAAGAATGTATAAATAACTAATAAATCCTAGAATCCTATAGAAGACCTAATAGTCATGCTAACCTACTCTTAGCCAAAAGCTTGGGAAACTGCTACAATTAATCACTAACTAGTGTCTAAGTTGGGAAAAATATTTAACTTCTAAGAGAAATGTTTGTATGTATAGAAATTGGAACTAAAATGAAAGTTGAAATAAAGTGAAATTGTAATGTATTGGATACTAGTTTTGAAATATGCCTGCCTTTTATATTATTAAATCACTTTGAATATTCTCAAATTTTAAATTGTGTCTTTTTTGGTAAGATTCTCTTGTAGCATTAAAAATACTTATATGGAAACATAGTTTTTATAGGCTAATCATAGATGTGTACTGTAGGTCAAGGCATGTGTAAATGTTTAGTAGAGACAAGAATGTATACTTTTGATATAAAGTGACCTATGCTGTGACAGAGGAGGTAAAATGTATCACAAGAATAGATAAAAGGGACAGTTCGTCTAGAACCTACTACGAGGAATTCTTTTCAAGGTATTTTTAACACCCATGTAGGGTGTCCATATAGTTGTTCAACCAAACTGTACACACATTCACTAGTGAAAGAGGGCTCTACTTAAAATTAGTGGGGACAATATGTGTAACATTGTCCTATTAGGTGTGGACTCTCCATTGTATCCCTAGCATCTTGAGTTAATAGATTTTGCATGTGTGGTTAAAGCACTGCTCTCATATTCAAGAAGCTGACTTGCATTCAAAGTCTGTGGAGGACTTCTCTCAACCACCTCTGTCTTTCTATCTAGAAGGCAGTGGAGGGCAAGTTGAGGGAAAATTTAACATTTGTTTTTAATCACAGTTACAGGTTAGACATTTGGGAGTTTACTGTGTAATCACAGTTGGTTGGCTCTTTGTTTTGTTAGAACACAGTGACAACTAGACTAGCATAGCTTTAAAAGAGGTGAATCAACCATGGTGCATTGAAATGCCGAGGAGGCCTGCATGTCTGTTGAGAGCTGCTTTGCTTGGTTTGCAGGACCAGTGGTTTTGGCGAGTGAGGAACAACAGAGTGATGGATGGATACCCCATGCAAATTACTTACTTCTGGCGGGGCTTGCCTCCTAGTATCGATGCTGTGTATGAGAACAGTGATGGGAATTTTGTCTTCTTTAAAGGTAAGATTGTTCTCTGAGTCTGACTATTTTGCATTTTGATCATTGTGTCCAGGTTTCTGTACCGCACACACAGAGGGGGATTAAGTCAGACCTCTTAAGTGAAGCTAGGTAGCTAATGGATTACATGAAACAAACTTCATATTGACTAGATATGGAATGAAATAAAATAAAGATTTTTTAAATTTTTAAAATGTTTTATCATATGGTATTCTCATGTATAAGTCAAATTTAAGATATGTTTTATGTTCTTAGAACTTTTAGATTTACGTTAAACATATAAAAGAAAGAAAATAAATAAGCAGCCATTTTTACACTGACTAAGGTATTTCAGTCCACTTGTTTCTACTTTAGAGTCTTTGGAGTTGCTCTCTGTTTTTCTTGAAAGAAATCCTGCTTGCTTGCTTGTTTTCATCTGTAATCTCTGAAACTTTACTTGATTTAATCAGTTTACATAGTTTCTGAAAAACTAGGAAATTACTGCTAAAAGTAGGAAAAATTGAGGACTAGGAGAATTTATTCAGTTTTCAGTGTCGTGAGGTTTATCATCTGAAATTTATCTCAGTGGGAAACTTCAGTTGCACGAGTACAGATGATTGCTCAGCATGCAAAAGTGGGATCATGTGGGAAAATGAGCTTAGTCCAGAGCCTAGTGTTCCCTCCACAGAATCGCTATAGTGCAAAGCTGGAAGCCTTAACTCTTAGTGGGGAATTTAGGGACGAGAGACAGCTTGAAGGAGGGCCCGAGGGAACTGCAGAGACTGTATTTGAGCTGAGGCAGAGGGAAGCTAGAGTGCAGAAATATGAATGAATGTATTATTCCAAGCCTAAAGGACTGAAAATGAGCTCAGAGAGGGATAGAAGCTGAGGGAAGGGAAATGGAGACCTAAATAAATTTTTTTAAATTATTCGCAGAATCAAATGGAAGAATTTGTAGTAATGAAAACATGGTCTTTTGGAGACATTTGTAATATTAAAAGAGACATTCAAGCTACCTGTGTGAAATAAAAGAGTATACCTGGAAGTTCTTTTATTTTTGCAGTCTGTTCCTTGAGGAAAGAAGCACTGTGGTGTATTAGTTATAAGAATCTGAGGGTTCGGCCAGCACCGTGGCTCAATAGGCTAATCCTCTGCCTGCGGCGCCGGCACACCTGGTTCTAGTCCTGGTCGGGGCGTCAGATTCTGTCCCATTCACTCCTCTTCCAGACCAGCTCTCTGCTGTGCCCCGGGAAGGCAGTGGAGGATGGCTCAAGTGCTTGGGCCCTGCACCCGCATGGGAGACCAGGAGGAAGTGCCTGGCTCCTGGCTTGGGATCAGCACAGTGCGCCGGCCATGGTGTGCCAGCCGCAGCGGCCATTGGGGGTGAACCAACGGAAAAAGGAAGACCTTTCTCTCTCTCTCTCTCTCTCTCTCTCTCTCTCACTGTCCACTCTGCCAAAAAAAAAAAAAAAAAAAAAAAAAAAAGAACCTGAGGGTTCTGTGGTCAGTTTTGAATGCTTACTAAATGTATGAAATATGAAATGGGTAAGCTACTCACTTCTCTTTGCCTCAGTTTCCCCATCTGAGAAACCAGGTTCATGTTACTGCACACCTCAGGATTATTTGAAGCAGTGGATTAATTACCGCATGAGAAATGCTTGGCTCAGTAAATGCCAGCTATTGCTACTTTAGTAGGATTACTATAATTAATATTATTGCCTGCTTGCTATTTAATAATAAGTGTTTAAATGAGCAGACATGCACTGCACCAGTATAGCCAAAGCAAGGACCCATGTAAAGCTTGTGAATCTTAGGGGCGTAATCTTTGGACAGAAATTCCCCTGCTCTCACCCTTCTTGGGTCCCAGGAGTACTAGGAACAGAAAGAAGAGAAGGAGAACCCCAGGGTAGCCTGGGGCTTGAGGGCTGTTCTCAGAGGCCCTGTCTCAAGGCAGGATCAATAGTGCTCTCTGACTGAACTGCCTGAGGAGGAACTGCCACAGCCATAAATCAGTGTGCTGACAGCTCCCGACTGCCTCGGGCCATTCTCACTTTTATTCACTTTGGCTTTCTTTGCTCACTTGTGGCATGGCTGGCTCCTTTTCATCTTCCAACAGCCAGCATAAAAGGCATGTCCTCAGTGTGCCCTCCCACCCACCCTATTTCAGGAATACCTTCCAAGTTACACACAGCACTTGTAAAAATGTGAAATTGCCTACAGTGTTTGCCTGTAAGTCTCACGAGACGTGGCTCTAGTCTAGATTGCCTGGCACAGCACTGTGCTTGCGGCTGCTGAAATAGACCTGGATGCGCAGTAGGCGCTGGATCAACAAGCATCCCTAAACATTGACTCGACTTAGTTTCTCATGTTACTGTGCTAACAGCAGCAATAACTTTGCTGTCAGATGTATTGCACTTTCAGCAAGTTGTCTCTTCTCAGTTGTGTCTTCTGATACATCGTCACATGGGGAAACGTCTGCTCTCCCAACGTTTGACACCCTGAAGACCTCGCTCTGGTGCCTCCTTCCTCCAGTTTGCTCTTACCACTTTCTTCAGAGGAGCCTACTCAAAGTCCGCTGTGATATGCAGCTCCCCTGCTCCAGACACCGTTGCTGAATCAGAGGGAGCCTGAAACTCTGGCTGTCTCCAGCAAGACAGCTTTCGTCCCTTGTCTCTGCCTCATCACTGGCAGAGGAGAAATAAGAATCCCAGAACCCTAGGCAGAAACCACTCTCCTTTCTTTTTTTTTTTTTTTTTTCTTAACCAAAATCCACACTTTTTCAAGATAGCTTAATTTTTACCTAATTTCCTCTCCCTATTCCAAGAGCCCGAGCAGTGTGCCACATTACATTTTTTTATTTAATTAATGCATTTTTTCATAGGTACAACTTTAGAAATGCACTGATTCTTTCCTCCATTCCTACCCTCCTCTGCCCCCGACTCCCATCTGACATTTCTCTCCCTCTCCCATTTCCTTCTTCATTATTGTTCATTTTTAGTTTGACTTTATATACAGAGGACCAACTCCATGCTAAGCATAGATTTCAATAATTTGCCCCCATGCCCACACACAACATATAGAGTACAGTTTGGGAACAAAATTTGTGGTCGATTCTCATAGTACAACTCATTAGGAATGGAGGTCCTATATGGGGAGTAAGTGCACAGTGACTTCTGTTGTTCTTTTAACAATTAACACTCTTATTTATGACGTCAGTGATCACCCGAGGCTCTTGCCATGGGCTTCCAAGGCTATGGAAGCCTTTTGTGACCATAGATTCCATCAGTATTTGGACACAGCCATAAGCAAAGTGGATGTTCTCTCCTCCCTTCAGAGAAGAGTATATCCTTCTTTGATGACCCTTTCTTTCCACTGAGGTTTCAGAGATCCTCCGTGTAGGATATTTTTTGGCTTTCCATGCCTGAAATGCTCTCACAGGCCTTTCAGCCAGACCAGGAAGCCTTAAGGGCTGATTCTGATATCAGAGTGTTATTTACAGTGAATGTCATTCTAGGAGTGTACTGTGTGGACTGCTTCCCATATTTCACTTTCCTTCCTTTTTAAATCTATTATTATTACCAGGCACTTGATGTTATTTATATGATCACTTTTATACTTAAACCCATCTATATGTTGACTTTGACATTTAGTATGATCATTTTAACAGTTAAGATGGCATTTATACCACTGATTTTTATGGATGTGGAGTCCCGTGACAAGTGTTTAGGCTGTACCATTAGAAGTAAGTCTATAGGACTATATGCAGAACTATACTGCTTACAGTTATAGAATACCTCCTCCCTCTCTTAACCCTCTTATTTTTAACTGGGATATTTTTCCAATTGACTTAAAATACATATGATCCTACACTCAACACATTCACCATCAGAATGGTCGTGGATACTTGATAGCATCTCTTTAGGGCCTTTATCAGATAAGTAGACTGTTCCTCATCCCTAAGACTATCCATCCCATTTAGCTCCAGGAGCTGTGAGATGACTTGGAGTCCTCTTCTTCCAGCTAAATCCTCTTCTCTTCTTGAATTTTCTACATTCCATCTGACAAACCAGATATTTCATTTATTTATTACTTATCTGTGATCTCGTTGCTAGCATGTCAGCTGTATAAGCACAAAGTATTCACTCTGCTTATCCTTTTTTTTTTTTTTGCCTTTTTATACTCTTGTTTCCAATCTCTTAAGCCAGTGCTTGAGGCAAATTTCTATAATGACCAATAGTAAATATTTTAAGTTTTGTAGCACACATAGTGTATGCTCTTCTTTGTTTTTTTGTTGTATGTGTTTTTATAATTCATTAAAATATAAAACTGTTCTTAAATTATGGGCTTTAATGAAACAGGCTGTGGGTCATAGTCTCTTAAGTTACATTTAAGTGAAACCTAGAATGTAGTCAACACACCACAGAGACTGAATGAACTGAGAATAAAATTTACCCTAGTCTGTATTCACAGCCTACACAAGTCAGCCTCAGCCTCTACCAGTAGTTGTGCACCACTGTAACTAATTTTCTAAGTGTCTCTCTTCTGTGATTTGCTCTTCATCCCTCTTTACCTTCCTTATTCATATCCTCATCTTTCCCTCCTTTTTATGTTTTTCTCTCCTTCCTTTTTTTTATAAGTCAGAGTTAGAAAGAGAGAGAGAGAAAAAGAGAGAGAGAGAGACAGAGCTTTCATCTACTGTTTCACTCCCCAATAGCCAACCCTTGGCCTGGCTGAAGCCAGGAACCAGGAGCTTCATCCAAGTGTCTCACATGGGTAAAGGGTTCCAAGTATTTGAGGCATTTTTCCACTGCTTTTCCAAGGCTACTATTAGCAAGGAGCTGGATCAGAAATGGAGCAGCTGGGAAATGGAGCAGCCAGGACATGAACCAGCACACGTATAGGATGCCAGCATTGCAGGCAATGGCTTCACCCCATTGCCACAATACCCACCCCATTTTTCTCATTCTAATTTACATTATATGATAATACTTGTTCTTGACTAGTCTTTTTTCACACTGTTTAAC